TTCAATCGCCACTTGGAGGCATTAAAATACATTTTTATATAAATAAAAAATATTTTTTTTGCTGTTCAAATAATATATAAGTTTATGCAAAAACGCGTTTTACTGCATATAGTAAATCTTTAAAAAATTCATGAAAAAAAACCGGTTTTTACGGCCGGCAAAAGTGAAACTCTCCTTAAATAGTAGAATGCTCTAAACTTGAAGTTTTTTTGTTCGAGTTAACAGAGTTGCATCTTCTATGGGTGCTTTCCATTTAGTGACACAAGTCGTCACAAACGTCATTCTATCCTTCTTAGCATTTAGTGAATAACAAAAGTACAAAACAATACTTGTGTGGACTTGTGTCACTAAATAAAAAGTACCCTATGCTTCCAGTGCATTGTTTTTACTTTTAGATTTACTTATTTTCCATTACGTCATCTAACGGCAAAAATGTTTATTTTATATTAAAATTTTATTTTAATCGTTTAAAATATGTTTTCTTAAAAATTACAAATATAAATCCGCCATATTGGATATTTAAAAAGCAAATTTATAAATTTTAATTTCAAACTTATGTTATATTCGTATCTTTTTACAATAAGTTAAAGATCATCGCATTGTTTCAAATATTTGAACATTTTGTGTCTCTTAAAGTCATTTTGAATTTGCATTAGCACGTTTAAAAATTTTGACGTTTACAAATTCGAAATTCTCAACCTCTAAAAACCTTAAAAAAAAAACTATTTTTAGACAATTTTAATATTTATAAAACAAAACGACAATTAATTTCATAACATCTATAGACATTAAAGAGAAGGTAAGGATATCACATACTTAATTTAGTAAAGTTTTAAAAAATTCTAAAATCCAAAAATTTCAAATTTTTTTCAAATGATTAAAAAAAAAATTAAATGTTTTTTTTTCACTTACATTTAAATAACGGCCAATATTTCCAGTCGTTTTAGCATCCATAATATAAACGGCTTCATCTTCGCCGAAATAATCTCTCACAGACTTGAATGTTGATCTCTCTATTTGTTTTGGTTCTACACTAGGTTCGAATCTACTTGGCTCTCTTCTTACGTCATTTCTACTATCATCGTCGTCACTGATATTAATCGTATCCTGATTTTCATTCATGGATACTTTTGTCGTGTTTTCCAAATCTCTCGTAATGCTTCCGTCTTCGCTGTTTTCTTCAGATATATCTGGCTGATTGTCTATCTCGTCTCTTTTCCGTTTCCTTAGACGTTTCCTGGTAAAGCTTTCTTTGTAATTTTTCCCATTTACACAAATATCATAATATTACTAAATGTTATAATAATTATAAACAAAATATTCTTAAATATTTCATGCAATAGCAATAACAAATGAACAAATTATTAATTATGATATAGACTCATATCAAGAGACGGTAGTATCACGCGCTATATTTTTAAAGTAAAATATGTTTCGTGATTTAATAGTATGAAACGAATACCTAATAGACGAAGATTCTGCGGTTGTTTCCAACAAATCCTTGTTGCAAGAAGCCACATAATTGTCAATATTGAAATCTTCGTCCGAGCCATTAGTGCTTTCCTTTGTATTATCCTCCTCGTCGCTCACGTCGGTAGTTTTCTTCTTATTATCTTTTTCAGTAGGTGACGTTGGCATTTCGGGTTCGAGAACATCGCTTTCGTAACCCTCCTTGAAACCTTCTACTACCTCCACATAATCTAATTCTGCCAGATATTCGTCACCGTAATTTTTGCCCCCTTCATTTGCACCCTATATAATAAAGAAAGCGTGTATAAGGTAATAAACGTTAATATAGAAAGGTCTAAGAATTGAAAATAGTGTTTTAATTGTCCGTGCCTGTTCGGTAAGTAATCTCCCTGCGTAGATGCAGATAAAAGCGCCATGGGGAATGTCATTGAGGCATCTTATGCCCCAACCGCGCGGCCCTGTTTTAAACACTTGCAATTTTAATCTGAGAGGATGCTGCACTACTCTGTTGAGACACGTTTTCACAGAGCACTTGCATCCCGAATTACATTCGTAGATTCCCGTGGTCACCGGTTCGGGCAAGCGCTTGTACATGTAACCGACAGCGGTGTTTGGCATTTTTCCACCCAGAGTTGCCCCTTTTATCGTTAGCTGCCAGCACTGGCATTTCTCTTTATCCTACGGTACATCACAGTAAAACAAGTGTAAATTCATTCGGTAGCTCATACGATTTTATACCTGACAATCGTCTTCGCAATCGCAACTGCACAAGAACGCTGGATCTAGATTTAAATGAACACCTTCCGTTGGCTCCCGACGTGTAGTATATCTTATGGTATCTGGTTGAGTGTGATCCAAGTCATTCACACATGGTATCGGCACATTCTCCACGCCATAACTGAGATCCTTTTAAACACGAAATTAGAGTCAGTTTCACAAATATATGTAATATGTATATAATTTAATTAAAATCACAACACAATATGTAAATATTTTAGTATTTGCAAGAAATTATTTTTTTATATCAATCTATATATCTATACAGGGTGTCCAGTAAATCGCCTGCAATACTTCGAGAGGTGATTCAGGACCCAAAAAGAAGGAAAAAAAGATTTAAATATAGGTCCAGAAATAAGTCGTTTCCGAGTTATAATCATTTTTATATTTAAAAAATTGTAATTTATATATGTATACAGGGTGTCCGGTACTCAATGATAAAGCACTCATGGACTATAAGGTAGAGTTGGCTAAACTGAAAAAAGTCTTCTACCATTTTGTGATCTTTGCAATAATTATCAAAATACTAATTATTAAAAAAAAATTTACGCCATAAAAAAGTATCTTACATTACATCATTCCTAAACCATTGGTCATTTTAGTTACTTTAAGCCTGTTTTATAAAACTTAAAATTATTTGGAAAGACAATAGCATTAAATTTTTGCTGCCTATACTTTTGGATGATTTATTAAAAAAATATTTTTGGTTTGGAATAAAATATTTTTGTCTTTATGTTTAATCAAATACTTATGGTTAACAACTTGTATGATCTCATGTTTTATTTTTGGACAACTTTTATTTGTTAAAATAATATTTTTGGTTTAGAAAAAATGTAATGTAAGATACTTTTTTATATTACTGGCATAAATTTTTTTTTATGATTAATATCTCGATAACTATTGCGAAGATCGCAAAATGGTAGAAAACTTTTTGATTCAGTTTAGCCCACTATTTGTCCACGAGCGCTTTACCATTGAATACCCGACACCCGGTATACATAATTTATATATATACATATACATATATTAAATAATTTTACATTTTGATTTTGACGACTTACCTTGATATTGATAAAACACTTCTCCACGACGAAATCGGCGAAAGCGCGCACCCAGTAATCAAAATCAAACAGATCGACGGATAATGTACTGTTGGTCATACGGAGATAACGATGCAGTTCTTCCACATTTCGCAATCTAACGCCGCACGGTGTCTGGTACAATATAACTTTCTTGCCCTTGGAGAATTTGCAAAGTTGACGATGCCAGCCGCACAACAGTGGAATAGAGAGTGGAGAGAGTCCTTTCAGATCGTCGTGTGAAACCTTAATGCCTTTGATACATTTTGACCCGCACTTGTGAAGAACGTATTTTTTCGGTTCGTATTTCCTCTGTGTATGATAAAACTAAAAAAATTGATGCAACATGTGAAATTAATATCAAGTTGATTAATTATAATATGTTAATATAAAATTATGCAACTGCATAATTTAATTAATATAGGTTGAACTAGACCGCTGAATGCCTAACACAAAATGGAGAATGCCTTCAATAGCTCAGTGCCAAATATTTTATGTAAATTCTAAATACATCTTCAGTCATTTTAAATTGTGTGACAATTATACTGTCGCTTTTACAAATATTAGTGTAATTATAAACGGAATTGTATTAATTAATACAATTTACTTACAACAATACTATGTGATGGTTTTGTTTCTACGGTAGAATTGTATGTTGTAATTGTATCTACACTAGTTTGCCTTCTAGCAGTACTTTTTTTGGCTACTGCACGTGGCTGTTGCGGTGCAGTGGATGGTGTACTAGCTGTCACGCTCGTAGCAACTGTTGCTTTCTCCGCTTGCACATTTTGCGTGACATCTTCCTCCACGTTGGATGTATATTCAACGTAAGGCAAATTGTTTTTCTGCAAAAATTACAACTCGTGAATAGAGGATATAAAGTTGTTATAAAGCTGTACTTAATATTTTCAGTCAGAATTGTCAAAATTTCTGTACTGAGGTATTTTCAAAAGTAAATTTGTATTCACTTACATTAGACGTAGCAGGAATACGATGTCGAGTATGCGCGTTGCCGGACTGTTGAAGTTGTTGCCTTGCATTGGCTTTTAGTACCTCGAGATACAAAGGGCCCAGTCTAGTTGATCCACGGTAAATCCATTCGGTTCTCTTGTCGGCGTCAAAATGCATTTGCACTAAACTCGCATCAACCTGCACGACTCTCGCAAGCCACCATTTACCTTTCCATTCGGTTTTAACCATTTGACCTGGTTGCAATTTTACCATTGGTCTCTCGGGATATGATTCTAAGTATTTCTTCACAAACTCGCGCGATTCGCTGGGAATGTCTTCCCAAATGCGTGGCGAAGTATCCAAAACCAGCAAGATGTCATTATGAACGACATACTGAGCGTAACCGTCGTCGAAAAATACAAGATATCTGCAGTAGTAAATACATTAACATGATATTAAATAATATATTACAATACATAATTTGCAAAATCCTCATGTGGGAAAATTTGTACACCTAATTATCTCCTATATATTAACTGGTTGAAAAAAAATCTCTAAACACGCTCACCTGTACTTATTTATGGATTTTGGTGTCTCGGCGATTATTCCACTGTAGTAATTATTGGAAACGTCATCGTGAAATATAGCCACGACTCGTGTTCCAACTGGGATCATAACTTGACTTACTTCGGTTATCGCTATAAGCTTGCCAGGGACGGTCTTGACCGCTGAGTTATACCTCTTCTGTATAAGTCTCACGCGAACGCTCCATGGATTTGAAACTATATTCAATACCTATGGAAAGACATCTGTATCAGAATTTTGTTCGGTCTCCTCTCTTCGTCTCTAATCGAGAAACAGGCAAGAGAAAATATGTGACAGATGCAATAAAGACTTCTACAATATACCTTTGCTTTAATCCACGGCATAACAGGAGTTTTCATGATGTAAACGATATCGTCTATCTCTGGGGCTCGTTTAACGAGTGGACCAGTCGGCGGTAATTTGGGAGCTATCATCTCCTTAGTGCCCGACGGTTCAATCGCTAAAACTTCCAGCTGACTGTCTTGCAATAACGAGGAAGGCGGAACGCGTACTTGCGTTACTTTCTTCGTTGCTACAAGTGGATGGGCGCCCTCCGTGATCTCGTCGTTTAATTGCAATTCCTCGAGCATCTTGATTTGCGGTCTAAAGTCTTCGTACATGTTGTTACGCAATTTATCCATAGTACGCATCATTTCCCGTATTTCGGTGTTAAGAGAATCATTCGCCGCTATCAATGAATAATACAATATAAAGCATGTCTTATATCTAAATAAAAGAAGAGATAGTTTGTACTTTTTTTACATGCATCTTATCCTCGTACTTGGGTAAGCTCGTCTTACCACATATATCTCGCCATCTCCTCTTTAAGGTTTCACATGCCACTTTAACATGCTGCTCCATATTGTATTTTTTATAAATACATGACAATGTGTCATCTAATTTACTCTTGATATCTAAAAGTATATCTTCTGGTATGTATTCTGCAAAAAAAAGAAATAGCAAAAACAATCATGATTCTATAATATATTTTTGATAGTTGCAAAGATAGATTCCTTTTTGATGCTATGGATAACAGATAATATTAAAAGTGTACCGTTATTATCTGACTCCTTTTTTTTCTCATCTTCAGAATCATCGCTGTCAGAAATTTCTACTTCCATCGTATGATCGGGAAAGTAACAGTCTAACAGTGATCTATTTTCTACAAAGGCTTTTACCAATTGCTGTAAATAAGATAACAAGTATTACAGTCTGATCCTAATATATTATATTAAATTAATATTATATATTAATACATTACATTGAATTTTATTCTCATAATGTATTAAAACAAAAATTACCTTCTGATGTTCCAACGCATTATCAAAACATTCTTTACATATAATACGTTTCTTTTTCTTTTCGAGTGAAACTCCATAGAATGCGCATGCGAAGGAAGGTGCCACTTTCATATTTATCCCAGAGCGACATTTAAAATTAATACAATTACTATTGTATACTTTAGATTTGGCTTTCCTTGTATTTTTCTCCTCTTCATCTGACATTAATTCGATGACTTCCATACTCTGAGCCATTTCCTTGATAACTGTTTTGTTAGACAATTTCTAGAAACAAAATATTTATCTTAAATCTGAAGAAAATATTGATTATACAAAAAACATATTTTTTAATTCCACATATTTTCATTTCAGTTATGCCGAGATAAATGTGATCATTGTAATGTATATTAATGCATATTATAAATAACAAGAATGCTATATTTAACTAACATAAATAAAAAATATATATATATACATATATATACATACGTAATATATACATATCCTATAATTTATAAAAACGAAATTAGAACAGAAATAGACAATAAAGAAAATTTGTAAAGCTCTGTAGCACACACATACATATGTATGTATGTATATATATATATATATATATATATATATATATATATACTGTACACATAAAGATACATATGTGCTATTGTTTTTATAAATTTATACATAATGACATATATATATATATATATATATATATATATTGTCGCAGGCAAATGGTCATTTTAGGAAAATAACTTTTGACTAGTGCCTGGTCAAATGGACTTTCTGCTCTGCGTTGCAAAATACACACGTGGAGGTAGTACAGTTTCGCCCCCTTCCTAAGGAGGGGACCCACTTCGTTTCAAACTAACCTAACCCAAATCATTTTTTGGTGTGGGATGGACCTCGCTTCGCGTAAAAAATTGCAAACCCACGTGAAACCTCGTGATTTGTATGTCCATTTGATCAGGCAAATAGCATTTGTCTAGTCAAAAGCTATTTTCCTAAAATGATTTGCCTGCGACATATACATGTATATATTTGTGTATAATTTTTTACAAATTATCTTCTCCAACTTTATTGGCTATTTTCGTTTTCTAATTTCTAATTTCGTTTTTATAAGTTATTTATATACCGCTTAATCGCATATTTCGATTTATGAACATAAAGAAATAAATAACGGAAAAAGTAATTAAGTAAGCTATATAAATACAAAAAATAAACAATTAATAATAAATGACTTTTAAAACGTACCGTAAATTTTATACGCTGACAACTAAATACAAAATGATGCAAAATAAGATTAGGTTAGTTCCATAAACATAGTATGGGCAGAGACGGCAGAGACAGAGCGAATCAGCGAAGCATGAGAGCAGCCATCCCGGCGTTTTTCGCAACACCGGTAAAAGTTTTGACCTCCCCGTACACTAGCGCCAATTGCTTCTTTCTGGTAGAGTCCTAGATTATCAGAGAAGCGCGACCGGTGTTACGAGTCCTGATTGGACTCGCAAATGGCCAATCATAAGATTGATTTATCGCTATTATAAATGGCTGCCGAATAAATAAATCTTACGATTGGCCATTCTACGCCATTTTTAATATTTTTTAGTACTTTTGCGATACTGCCATAAGCCGGTCGCGCCACAGTATAACCAGTAGGTCCACTTCGTGTCGGCACCTTTGATCTCCTTTTCCGGATCACGTGAGCATCCGTCATGTTAAATCCAGGACCGAATTGAGAAAAGTGCCTCACAAGTGATAAAACAGATAAGTAATATGGATTCA